CGTGGCTGCTACATCATACACGTGTTCGAAGAGGGTGTGCCCTTCAAAATGTAAGTGAACATACGTTCCAATTTCCACTAACGGCATTACAAAAAGTGAGCAGGTTTGCGAAATATGATGACAGGCGAGGAGAAAGTGGGGATGAAATGTAGATTGTGGAAGTAGTGATCGACAGGAGAGTGACGGGTTGACGGATAGGCAGCAGAAATCATCCGTAACACTCCGTCCCCCTGATTTCCAGACCATCCAACACGGCTACCAACGCATACGATTCATTCGCAGGCAAATATTTTGCACCCGAATCAAGAGAATTTGGGAAAGTTGTGCATTTACATATGTACAAAACAGAAGAGAAATTCGGACCAGTTTGCATACCTCAAAGTCATGAAAGGGATGACCAACCTTTGAGGAAAGTGTTCATTCATTTCGCAAATTTAATTAGCATCAGGTCAACCCTACCCAACCCCTCGTTTCTCCACTTACTTAGCAGAGACGGGGAAATGAACATGCATCATCATAAGCAGCGTCTACAGTTACGTGCACCAGCAAGGGAACGTTCGTGTGCAGTTTGTCAGCACATTTGTACTTGTCACCTACTTCCGGAATTGTTGAGACGAGGTGAGACTTTGGATTGATTGGCCTTTTGCAGCCTGAAAATATGTACACCGGTAGCGATGCATTATGCAATACGGTTTCTTTTCTCTTGTTGATGGAATACGTAACAGGAGTAAAAAAATACGTTACTCTCATCGATTTGTGTATTTAAGCCGAGTAAATAATTTGCGTGCCACACCCTCCGAAAAATGCTTGTCTCCGGTTCAGTCCACAACGATTTCACTCTGCGAATATTTACAACACATGTGGCAATTATTCTCTGCGAGTGAAATTTATTCGACTCGAGGAAGGAAGTGCTCCATGCAGTTGTCGAGTTTTAATGACTTTGCGTTTATTATTAGACACAACTAATTTCGAGTAAATTATGTATGCTGTGTTTTTCTACTTTTGACTGGGACGCGGACGCGGATCATGAAAGGATCTCCATGCAAAATTTATGAGTTGTTACATTTCGTTTAATCCGTTTTGCACGTTTTTTCTTGTCTCTTTTGTCTCACGGTCTTGGATCAAAGTGAGAGAAGTGAAAACAAACAGGCTTTAAAAACAGGGAATAGTTTAGCACTTTGAAATGGAAAGAAAGTGGCCAGTGGGCACTTGGTGTGAACCTAGTTTATTTGAGAGTGGTCAAGGTGAGGGAATTAATTTCCATCTCATTTTGTCCACTCAGTGAGTGAGTGAGTGGAAGTGGGGCAAATACTGATAATGGACATTGGTCATTGCTTAGTGGAGTTGGGAGAGGAGAACTGTGTTGCGTTATTAGGGGATGGCCAGTGAGATTATGGTTGTTGTGAACCCCATGCACCACGCGTTTCATTTCCATTTGGCTGGGAGGAGGAGAAAGTCCGCGATTACATCTAATTTTCCTTTGAAAGAGTAGAAGGAAATAAAAATAAAATTTTATCGTGGAGAAACCAATTGCCAATTCCTATCACCATTAGACTGGGCTGCTGCCTGCATTTCTCCAATCCAGTCCCACACTGCCCAACTAACACATTGGTTGTAAATGCTCAGCCAAAAGTCGCAATTCTCCCATGTTTGGTTTAAAATTCTAAACTGCACTGTTTTATTTGAACGAAAATTAATCCGTCTGCCCAACATATTGACCCAGATGCATGTAATCAAATGCAACATTATTTCGTTGTTAGACGCTGTTATTTCGTAACAGGAAAGAAAGTAGAATATAATTGAACGACTACTTTGAGCAGAGTGATCACATGTGTAATATGGAGAAAATAATGGGCATAGGTCCGTGTCTATGTCTCGGGACTTTGTTCGTGGAAAGTACTGAGGAAGCAGAGGAATCCGTTACCAAAGGTCGTAAAACTCCTGATCTGATCAGATAAAAAAGCATGGGGAAATTTTGTGTACATGTGGAAAGGTTGTTGGAAGGGATCCACCCTTTGATATCCTACGTACGTACGCTGTTCCTTTGAAAGTCGGATAAATTAGATTGAGTTTAGATTTCCATCAACTCGTAAACTCTTTATGACATATAAAGACCACCTTATTTATGGACTGTTGGCATATGGGACTTTCTCCGCTCTTCCACTCCCGCAGCAAGAACAAAGCATAATAAATAATTAGAGGGGGAGCAGATAATCAGCGCTTTTTTCTTATCTGAAGCAAATAATGACCGCCTATTGGATTTACCTTTCAATTAAATTAGTCTGGGTCTCACGAATTCCGACTGCACACGCACTTCTTCACGCACTCATCATCGTCATCTCAATAAGCTCCGTTTTATTGAAAAATGCGAGAAAGTGGATGGAGTCACAAGAGGACTTTCTCTCTCAGTGGGATAAGTAAGTAAGTTCAATCGTAACATTAGACTAATTCTACCCAAATTCGGTTTTCAAAGGGTTTTGGAGCCGATTGTTGGGAGAAAAGTGCATTGATTTATCTCCGAGTCGGACTCCACGCCCCTCTTCGCCTTGGAACTTGTGTCAGAGTGGGAAGAAAGAGTTGGTGGAGTATATCATATTAATATTAATAATAAAATGTGCTCCTACATACGTACTTTTGGCAAGGAAGCAGCAATAAATTATCCATTATGAAGAATGAATGGAACAAGTTGCAAAAAACCAAGAACAAATTAATTATTCGCAGCAAAAAGCTGAAAAGCCCACCCACAACCACAATTCAATCTCAAAACTTGCGAAATCCACAATGGGAATGAAATTAAATGGGATGCCACGATGGCCACAAAGTTGGTACCACTAATGCTACTACTAATTCGTGTACTACTACGACGTACGTACTGCGACCACCACCACGAGGCGAGTCTGACTCTGCATGGCTGCAGCAAAAAATGAAGGGACACGCAAAATTTATAAACATAAATTTTGTGATGGAATCTGGACACGGTCCAAAACTTTCCTGCCTCCCTGCCACTAATGACTCGAGTAATTTCCTCTCCATCGGAACAAGCCAACATTCATCACTCTCGCCCACGTTGAGTAACTTCCATCCAGCACAGCCACAACAATGGACAACACAATCTCCATCTAAATACGCTCAATGACGGGACGAGAAAGTTATGAATGCACACATCAACGTGACATATATTGCAGTGGTAAATAACTACATTCAGCACCCAAACCAAGTAAGAATGTGGACGATGTAAATACACGCCTTTCATCGGGAATTGACGATTTGACGAGTAACGGAACGCCACTTGTGAGAAGGTGTCCTCAAATGAACTGCGACCATGATTTATCACACTTCCAGTCCGTTCCAGTTATTGCTTTGTATGCCAAAGGAAATATAATTGTGCTAGTCAAGTTCTGACCATCACGATGGTTCCTCCAGGAGATCGATGGATAACGATTTCCTATTTATCACACCGCCACACCTCGACGCCGGTAAATTTTTGCAAAGGTCGCGAATTCCCACTTTCCAAACTTTCAGTCGATTAATTTGCAATTTCCTAAAATAGACTTGGTTTCGTGGCTGCAGAGCCTAAATTAGATACCGGAGGATAAAATGAGTACAGACAGAGAGCACCAACTCCTACGACTGGCTGTGAGTGGATACCGTCCTCGTGTGCATGTAATTATTCACCTAGATGGCAAAATCGTGCAGTCGTTAATAAATTACTCGATATCAATGATCGTGCCTCCGCAAAGTGTGAGGGATTGGGCGGCTCAGACGGTTAGGGTTGCATTGTTTATGACCAACGGCCGGAATGAATCCACGGAGGCTTATGCACGTTAGGTTGCACACCAAAGGATGCCCACTTGGGTAGGAAATTGGGAATTGGTTGCATAATTACTATTCAGTCGGAAGTGTGATAGCCAGAGAGAAAGGCAGCCCGATTCCATTCCTTTCTCTGCGACGAGACGCTCGTGGGGGCGACGACGTAAATGATGAGAACGTGATTTATATATTTCAGCATCTTACTTTTACTATTCAGTTGACTGATCCGTATCGTATTGACTTTTGTTACAAAACCCATTTGCATTAAGCATTACATGATCAAAGTTATATAACTACTCAGATTTTATTTCATTCTGACGACAACTTTTTACTATTTTTATAGAGCTATTTTTATAGATAATCGCATAAAATTGGCTTCCAGTTTTACAACGGCAGTAACTAAAACGTCCACGCAAGTAGGAAGAGGGCATCTTATTAGCGTCATCAAAAGGGAGATAATCTGATGTGAGGGCATAATAAGCAAGCACTTCGTCCTAATTGCTCGTTTGGTAATAAGTAGAAGCAGAAAAATGTAATTTTCCTGCATTTCAACGAGTTTACTGCTCAGAAGCACTAATGGATTCGATTAAATTTTTATGAGCCGTGCTATCCCACGAACCAACAACTCGTTCGGTGTGGGTGCTGGCTTCCACTAAAGTTAACAATCACTCAATATGCAACACTTGCTTACCGTGAAATGCTTTATGTACATCATTCTAATTGAATGCTCACTTTAATGTGTTTCTGATATGGATTTATTGATACAAAAAATTGATTGGACACACAAAACCCCCCGCGCATCGTGACACTTGGCTCCTCTCCAGTGCGGTAGATATAGGTAAACTACTCGCCAAATTAAACGGCGGAATTGATTATTGCTCCGGCTGAAATGGAATTAGTTATGACTGGCTTATCAATTGACGACGACAACGACGACGACGACGACGACTCCATTGCAGGGCAAGTGTCGCTGTTACTCATGCACAATAGATAAGGGTGAAATGAAACCGACTGGAAAATAATGAAGTAGGTAAACAATTCCGTTCACATTTCAATTTCAATGGAAATATTGGATCCGCTATAAATGGGTATTAGGTATTGAACTCTAAGTTTTACGCTCAACCAGAAAAAATGCACGACATGCAGAATAGTATAAACCAGTATAAATTCAGAAGAGAAACGTGGCTTACCGTGTAATTGGCTAGATTGAAGGTGCGACACTTGAGCTCTCCCCGTTGGCCTGCAAGGACGGTGACGTTTCCGTACGACTCGATGCCTGGTTTTCCTCCGTTGACGATGCCCACGGAGACGCCGTCCTCGCCGGACTGTTTGAGGGGGGAGGCGACGGGGTGGGTGGCGACGACTTCCTTGTACGTCCCCCCTCGCACCTCGCTCCCATGATTTCCCACGCAGCAGATTGCCATGAGGAGAAGAAGGATGAGGAGAGTGGTTGTGGACGACCACGCGTGGCCACTTTTTGAACAAGTCTTCCTCATACCGAGGTCCAAAAGTACAACAAGTTTTCCCATTTCGGATTCACCACTAAATTCTAAAGAGAAAGTTTTCTCAGAATTCTGAAATCACTTCACTTTCTCCTCTCTCTTCTTGCTCCGTCGGTCGGACTAATATAATAATACACGGAAGATAACCGTTGAAGTTGGAGTTTGTTATGTGTTATGCGGGATGTTGGATGGTGCGAGATCTTTTCAGAGGTGTCTTTTCTGGAGTCGTTGGTCTTCCTGGGATTTGGGTCTCTTCTTCGTTGTATTCTTCTCTCCTATTTCCAAAGTTGGTGGACTCTCAGCTCGAGGTTTCAACAAGATTGGTTTTTACCCACACATCCACGCAGCCACAATCACAATGTGCAGAGAAGCTTGGGCAGAAGAGTTCTCGGACCGACTTCTCAGCATAATCCTCCACATTCAACAATTTTGATCTGGCGGTGGTGGTGGTGGTGGTGTGATTGTGCGTCTGCTATTATTATGTTTTATAATGGCAGACCCAGAGGAGAAACGGAAGTGAGAGCTGGAGAAATTTCATCCTTTCATCTCTTGAGGTTCTCTTGGGCGAGAGAGAGATTCCACCACCGCGGCTCCTCTCCTGTCCCAGCCAAGTGGAGATATTTCACCTACAAATAGGAAAAACAGACTTAGAAATTGCACATATTTTTCAACCTGAATTGCATTCTTCTGACGGAATCGATTCCACAGTTCCACCCGGTAACTGTACATTTGCAAAATGGGTGGCAATTCAGAAAGTGTTGGACCATCTTTCCCGACTCTTTTCCTGACTGAGCAAATTGTTCCGAGAATTAGGTAAACGGCTCCTGTGGTACGTATGCTGTATAATACCCATCATAGGACGTGGAAAGGCATGCCCCCTCGTATACCCTTGATCTATACTCGCTTGGAGACCTTCTCTCAACTTTCTGTGACCTTTGGTAATAAAGAAAGCATAAAGAAAAGGTTGAATTGCAGAGTGATTGATCCAGAATAAAATAAAAATGTCGTCTCACGACTCTACGTACGTAACCCCCACACAATCCGTACGTATTCCAACCACAAGTAAAACCGATCAACTCGTTCAAATTCAAAGGCTTGAATTCGCATTAAAATAAAACGCAATCAACATCAACTTTGCGAATTTTCTGCCTACCAAAGAGGTAAGTCTGGTGGTAGGTATACGCATGCATAATAATATTCTCTTCTGTCTGGTGTGTTTTCTCTCTGTCTGTCTGTCTGTCTATCGTTCCCAGAATCCATTCCGAATTTATTTTGCTTGGAGATGGAAAGGAATTTAGATGTGAGCCAGGCAAGTCAAAGGACTTTCCTTTGCCGTCATTCCTTCCTTCGACCCGTTGAACCTTGCACACACAATATTCGAACGTACCACTGCCACCACTGGAAGTATGCATGCATGCATGTGTACGTACACCCTTAATCCCATGCCAGGCCCATGGAAGGCTGCTGGCTTAACCCATTTATTCACAGGGACCACAATCTCCATCTCATTCAACTAATATCTCCTCATGTGCATGCGAATACACTCCAACTTCACCGAGTTCACCGACGTGAATTTGTGTAACACTACCAACAACATCGTTTATGCTCCTTATAACTGTTTGAGAATAGCTTAGCTTTGTCCCGAAATTGGTGTTACACAGGAGAGTGAAAGGGATTATTTCCCACCCAAACAAACGGGATCAACGCTTGGACCTCGACCACCTAAGCCACGATATCTCGAACTAACTAACAGCATCGTTTCGTCGTCCTCAGACTGCAGGCACACATTCGGCTGGTGTGTAAAGCAAGGACGAGAGGAACGTGGTACAACAGCTCTATTTACACGAATAATCACAAACGATATCAGATTTACCAGTTCAATCGGATTTACTTTGGGCTTTGTAATAAATATTCAATTTGCACTGGTATTTATGCATCCATCCGTCTTCCTACGTATTCCAGCACAACTTGCGTTTCTTCCTTCGGTGTGTCGCCATTTAGCAAGTATTACCAGGAACTTAATAGAAATTCGTTTCATTCACATGCCGTCTACAACTTGCCACTTGTACGTAAATGGCAATTATTAAATCATTATTTGCCATTCTACAATACGTACGTATGTACGCAAACAAGTAAATTTTAGCCAATAATCCTCACGTTATAGATTAATTTGTGTTGAACAAACAGGCGTGTGTTTGTTTGCGGTTCGTTCGACATTATTTGCATGGAAATCGTGCTGGAGAAAGTCCAGACTTTGTCATGTTTTCTAATTGTTGTCATTACAAGTTTCGAGAGTATGCTAAACGCGAGAGGACGATAATTTCCACATTACATTTTCTCCATATTGGTTTCACCTCAGAGCGGTATGCATTTATCAATATGCAGACGATCTCGTTCTGATTGCCACAGGAAAGACGATAAATGAGATCAACGATAAATTGCAAAGAGACCTCCAGAATCTACAGGATTGGTGCTATCAAAATGGGATGGAAATAAACATTAAGAAAACACAAAGTATGACTTTCTCCCCTGCAAACCTGAGAATAGAAGGAGAGGTGAAAGTGAAAGTAGGCATGCAAACAATTGAATGTGTCACCTCCTTCAAATATCTTGGAGTAATTTTAGACAGAAGTTTAAACTTTCATTTGCATATCACTAAAGTCTGTTCTGAAATGAGTGCACGTATGTATATGATAAATAAGTATAAGAACTACTTTAGTAGTAACTGGTTGAAAATCTTTTGCACTTCCATAATATGTAGTAAATTGGACTATTGCTTGCCTGTATATGGAAATATGTGCGAAACTATATGTAACAGAATTGATAAAATTTTACTTAGAGTTGCAAGATTAGTGATCTTGAAAGATAAAAAGATTTTAATGTATGACGCATTCGAAAAACTAAACTGGCTATCATGTAAAGAGAGGTACGAAGTGTATACGCTAGAATTTATATTTAAACATATTATTTTAAAATCTCCATTGTTCAAATGTTTTCCAGAATACACCCGATCGGACCACAATAAAAATTTAAGGTCAAAGAACGATTTTGTACTACCTAAAGCGAAAACTAAGTTTGGTCAAATGTCATTTATGTACCAATCAATTAAAATGTGGAATGCTTTACCATATGAAATGAAAGATAGTGAGCTGTTTTCACAATTTTACCCTAAGTTAAGAGAATATAAAATTAAAGCACGAGTATAGCGAGAGTTGAAGTTGTTTAATATATAAAGTAATCGAGTATAGAATTAGGATATTGACTAGAATAGAATTTCCTATTATGACCTCTGTGACTTGGTAATGGAAACAATGTGTACCTACATATTTTTATCGCAGTCACTTGAATAAAGATTGAATTGAATTGAATTTAAAGAGTTTGACATTTTTATAATTTTATCCAATAAGGTCAATTGGCTCTCGCAGGTTGATGTCGTTGGCGTATATTATTAAAATTGGTCCAATTAAGCGTATCAGTTCCAATTTGCTTGCAACCAGAAACTCGACGACGTCTGTTATTATTTCAATAAGCAATCTCGAGGAATAATTAAATTTCCGTCGTCAAACCGCACGGCCAAGTATTGAATGGCACGAAAGGGAGGGAATCAAATAAATATCTTGAATCTGTAATAATTGTGTCTTCCCTAATTTATCATCTCTCAAAATGACATTGCATCCTCCTCGCTTTTCCAGACTTGCTTCCGAGATGATAAGATGAACCTGAGTTAAAATGTGTCTCTTCCCGGAAAAATTAATGGGCCTAATTCCACCCCATTAGCCCGCATTACCAGCTATAATTCGCTACTTTGTCAAATTATTTTGCAAATTCCCTTAATTGCAAGCTTAATAGCGTAATGACCTCATTCCCTTCCCCTGCCTGGTCGGATAGCGTTCCGAAAATAAGATTGTGCAGTATAATAAATGTTTCGTGAAAGGTAAATGTCAAATTCTACTTAAATAAGCTTTTTAAGCGATGTTTTATAAAAAGATTCGTCTCTCCGTTTGTCGTCAGAATCGAATACATGTATTAATTAGCGAGCGAGTCCTGCCCGACTGCATACCTGCACGACGACGGATATCATTCCGCAGTTCAGGTAGTAACGAGACAAATATCAGTTTGAAAATGACAAATAAAAACAATTCGAGCATTTTCCCTTGTTGGAAAAGTCATGACGTGTAATTGCTCGCACTCGCCGGCTCCGTCTTTGGACGGGAAGAAAGAGAGAAAGGAGCGGGGCGAGTTTATTACAGGAAGGAAGTTAATGGGATGTGAGGAGTCTGCTGCAGAATGGAGATGAGCTCCCCGGCAGCATTTGTTTCTTGTTCAAAGCAAGGAAATCCACTCTGTCCATGCAGCCTGCCTGCTTTCCCTCCTTTTGGTCGACGGTCCGTTCCTTCCAAAGTCTCGACGGGCCAGGTTGGAGGATGCTGTTTCTGCCCATACTCCAGCGCTCAATTGTTGCGATGAGTATAAAGAAAGTTCTCCAGTCACAGAGATATTAATGAGAATGGCGCGTACACCTTGTCGTTGGAGGAGTGGAGATTCTGCTTTTCTCGGAGAAAGCAGATGTGCAGAATAAGCGTGGAGGATAGGCGCACGGGTCGTCTCGTCTTTACGGCGAAGGGGAAAGAAAGAAGAAAGGAAGTGATGAGTCAAGAGGGAAAAATTCACCTTGGTTGAGGCAAACTGGAGCGCACTCAACCTGTCATGTATCTCATTAGTTGAGCTGGCTGCAGCTGACAAAAGGCCACCAGAGAGAACCAATTAGCTAACTAACACACTGTTCATTAGGGCAAAGAGGTAACTGGGGGCCAGTTTCTTTGTACATGGCCAATTCTCCAGCACAAGTACAAACAACAAATTGTTTAGAACAGCTACAATACGGACGACGTGCATATGTGTGTGCAGGCAAAAGGGAGGTGTTGAACCAACGTATGTACAATAAGTGTTTCGGGGAGGCCACATCAAGAAACGAGTGAAAGGCAAACTGACAAGCTTCAAAGAATCGTAAAAGGCGTCGTGCTTATTATTACATTCGGTGGTCGGTGGAGCGTATTTTTCAGAAATGTCAAATTTAGACTTGGCACCTTAATCAGTCGATACTACACGTTGGTCTTTCCCAACAGATGGATTTCAAAAAATGGTGAATCTACACACTTAGAAATAATTTTACTTTTTTGAAAAGCAAGTGCACTTTTTACTCCATATGAAGTCAAGTTTACTAAATCCAGAGTAACGCTTACTTGATACGGAGTAAACCTTACTTCATATGGAGTAAAAAGTGCACTTGCTTTTCAAAAAAGTAAAATTATTTCTAAGAGTGTATGCGTAAACCGGATATTCGTCGCGAAGATCCGTCACAATCACTCCCGCAGCCAAGCATGAAACGATCCCATGGTGGTCGCCTTAACGAGTGTCGAACTGCTTGTAAAGGACGTTCAATGGCTGATTGTTTCCTGAGATGTAGAACTGATTAAGGAAAAAGATTAATCAGGGAAAGTAATTAATGCTTTCTCCACCACTCCTCCCGCCTCGCCAAAATTGATTTTCTTCACGCTTTATGGAAATAGTTTCCATTTACGACCCTCCCTGCACCACCAAACCAGGAGAACAAAATGGGAGCTCTCAAGTCACCACATAAATCAACGACGACGGCGACGACTTCCAAAGAATTGAAACAAATTGACCGTTAAATTTTTAGATTTTCAAAAGAAACCGATTTTTCTATCATATATTAATGTTCAAATTCTCCCCACATTTAGATAAACATACCAATTGCCATTATAATGGCAATTGGTATGTTTAAATGCATTATGATGCAGTATATTTATGCACGCGTATGCACATTCGTCTATTTACGTAACCAGTGAAGCGAGAATTATTGATGTATACATATATTTACACATACTCGTGTGCCAGACAGACATGGCCAGTAATTAGGAATTTGGATGGTATGGCTTTAAAATAACAATTTAAAACCCTACAATCCACTAATTACCTTGACTTTACGGGATCAATACGGGAAATTACTCTAATACAAGACAGCTTGTATTTTAAATCCGTGGATTGTTGACGTCAAATTAATCGTTGGACGAACAGAGTTGTCAAACGATGGAAAATACCCGCCTATTACACGTACCCACCCGTCGATGGAGTGGATTTGGACAATTTTCTGTTCATCAGAAAACATCCACGTCTGCCATGTACACATCCGCACACATGTGAAAAGGCACAAGTAAACGTTTGAAAGTAAAATTGGGGCCTGAATCGATCACTTAATTACGACCCGTCCAAACATGTTGCCCAACTTTCACTTTCCGTGTTGTTCAACCAAACTCGGGTTTTGAAGAGTTTATTTTGAGGCGAGTTAAAAGTCGTGCGTTTGACTGATATCAAGCCTTGCACGCTGCAACTGCTTGAACAAACTTGAAATTTTCTCCCAGCAGCAGAAGCACCTTTCCTTAACCTCGACCACCACAAAGCCAGATCTGCGTATCTGCATGCACGTAGAGATGAAAGGCTGGGAGAAAGCGAGTAGCCAACGAAAATGCCAGCAAAGTAACTTAAACTGCTGAGCAAATTGAACTAACACGACGACGACAAAGCTCTGGGCTGGTTAGTTGGAAACTTTTGCTTGTATAGTCCAACAAACCAAGTCTTTAACTTTGTTAGCAGTTAACACTTGTTCCTTAGGTTTTGTGGTGAGGTGTGCGTCTCTCGGAGGAGCGGATTTGCGAGTCGATTATGATACTTTATGAGGATTTCCTTCAGACTTCCAAGCCTCGACTCCACCAAACTGCCCATCTCTCCCCACAATGCACCAAGAATTTGGACAGACTTTTACTCTTCAGGATCAAATTAATTTTCGAGTTCTTGGTTCTACTTGCTCGAGACTTTGGGTCCTCTCTGCTCAGAACGTGATGCTGGAATAAAATCTAATGAATAACTTGCTCCTTGCTGGTGGATTTTAGTGATTAACTTTGTCATTATCCTAAACCTGATCTGGTATGCGTCTTGATGACGAAACTTTAAGGCGAAATACTTACTTAGCAGGAGAAGACTCTGTATAATAATTGTTTTTAAATGGCTTTCTCCTGATCGTCGCAAATTTATCGAGTCTACGTAGCCTGCAAAGTGGAGGAAAATTCTCATTCTTTTCTGCTCCCATGTTAATGCAGGAATCTTGAAGATTTTGCCAAATTCAGCTTCAAGGAGCACGAAGAAAAAAAATCGCCCAGTGCGCCGTGAAATGCTTTGTTCTCAGGGACGGGGTTTTAATATGTATCTACATACATACGTATCCCTCATATTCTACTTCATTTTGTGTCAAGTCGACCTCCCCAAAAAATGTGTGTACATAAGTATGCACAAGAGAAATTTATGTAATAATGTACAAACTCGATCCGACTGCATGCTGGCTGGCATTATAAAAAATGAGGAAACACGTAATCAACTCTTTCGCCATAAATATCTTCCAACGTATGTATGATGAAACTGCATCTTTTTACTTGGCCATGCACATGACGGAAAGTGATCCGAAAACTTTTTCTTTCATTCTTTACTTTATTTTATGTAAAAAATTCAAATGTCTTTAAACTTTGCGTTGGAGGAGAGACTCTTCTGAATTGAGGAAATGTACGTATGTATTATGCATGCAGCATACGTATGTAACTGAAAGTCAATAAAAGTTTAATGGCGGATGCATGGTTGATACGTGTTTATTTAAACTCAGCACGTGGATAAGTTATTAGAAAACGAGTTAGTTTGGAAAGTTTGAGCATAGTTTGGCCAATCCCTCAATGAAAACCCTCCTTTTTGGGTAATTTGTCAGCCAAGTTTCCTTGCGTAATAACGATTATTTAATGACATTTATGTGTGTCAACATCTTTATATATTTATATGGTAAATTTAAGCCTCATTCATTCACACAAAGACGACAAACTTACCAAGACAGCAGCAACAGCAAAGTATTTATAGTCTCAATTTCCCCACTTTTACACTCCGTATTAACGTAACTCTTTCACAGTGAGTGTCACGTTGGACAACCTCTGCCATTCACAATTTCACATGCACAACCGTTCGAGTACGTATTTAAATGGATATTGAGCTGGATAATCTGCATTTGGCATAGTCAACGTTTTCGAAGCTATTATTCAAGTTATTTTTTAATTATTTTTCACTCAACACGAAATCCTGAGCAATGCAAGAGGAAATCTGCTTATGGAGCACGGCTCAGTTTCCGGTTTCTCTGTTGGCTCGCATTCCGAGTTAGCCAATAGAGAATACTTGAGCTCCCGCAGTGATCCTTTGACACGAGACCCTCGACAAGTGAGGACGAGACATTCGTCATGGGTTGAGTTGAGATTGGAAATTGGTGGATTGAAAGATGAGATGCCACTTACTTTCCTCCATCCAAAGACAACGAGACAGCCAAAGATTGATTTGCACACACCAACCAAGTTCAACTTGAACAATGCTCCCTCGCTCCCAACTTCCGCCAGTGAGTGGGAATTGACAACAACGTACAATCGCAAAGTTTGCTTTCACTCACTGATCCAAATTCCAGTGAATTTGCTGCTGAGTGTGCAAGTTGTTGGTCGACTCGTTCACAGTGTGGATGACCCAGTTCAGACTTTTGTGCGAAATTGTCTCTCGAAATGAATGCTTGTTGATGAGTTCTGTCAATTTGCTTCTCTTTTTTAAATCTTGAAGGAGCATCACTCATGCTCAATTTGCTTTCGCTCAGTTTTAAAAGTTTTCTTAATTTTTGTAGACTTGCTCAAAATTAGGGGAACAATGATTAAGAAATCAAGCACAACTGGGATCAAATGAGTTTCGGATGGGAGGCAGAGAGAGTTTTCTGCGCTAGCTGAGTGGCTGGATGGATGGTGTGAGAAGGAAGTCTCGTTTGGAAGTTTGATCTGAAGTGCAAATTAGATTGGCCCGATTCTACGTCCAAATTCCGCATTCAAATCCAAATTCAAACGTTTGGATAACGCTCGAGTTGTTGTTTATCCTTTGGATTTGTCCGATTCGATTTGCTCGATTTGCATCCGGTGTTGGGAAAAGAGGAGTTGGCAGAGTCTTCGGGGTAGTGTTTCACGTTGGACTCGCTTCACCCTCTCCCTGCTCAGCTCATGTTTATTCAAAACGTGCTTTCACCTCCTCCTCCTCCCCAACCAACCAACTTCCGGGAAGATGATTGTGTTTTGATTTTGTTGCCTCGATTTCTTGATTCCCACTTTTCTGCAAATTCATATGAATGAACAACTCAAGTCATTTTTGTATTTACATATTCCATAGACTGTGGACAATCAGACGACGTAGTTAAAAGGACTTTTATCCTACTTCAGCTTTGCTTTACAGTCAGTAGTAGGAAAAAGTATAGCAGCAAGTGGGTCGGAAAATATGTACCTAGACAGCCAAGATATGCATATGAACATTATGCAACTACATACTCGGTGGTTGAGAAATAGTGTGACTAGTTTTACCACATAAGCACACACGGATTAAATTATTCGGGTAATTGAATAATGAAGTTTTGTCTGGAAATGCTTACGCCGTGTGGCAAAGAGGGGCTTAACAATTCCGTGTCATCTTGCCCACATGCAAATAAATGTGTGGGTGGTGCACCTCAAATGATATGGGTTACTAGGATTTGATTTAATTCTCAAGATTCCCAATGAGCGCCCGTAATCAGCGTTATGCGGTCAGTGCAACTCCCCCGATGGCAACTTGGCTAACTGGGCGAGGGCGGAGTAATAGTAATCAAGAAGAGTGTTGGTTAATCCTGTGGGAAATAAAATCTACTTAGAATTGGATTATCTCGTTAATAATTTAATCCTACAAATGGCCACCATCAACTGAGTCATTACGGCCAGCGTGCTTAGTTAGTCGGTGAGAAATTTGGGTTACGTGTGTGAATGCAAACCTTGATTGGGAGATCAATGCGGGTGAAAAAATGGGTCCAGAGAATAGAATAGAAAGCATCAAAGTTTTTGATGGAGCAACAAAATTCAGCCCTTCTTTCCCAGCCTGCACAATTCGAGGAGAGAAAACGTACGTACGAGAGTGATCATTTTAATGGAATAAACAAACTTTTACGTTTGAGTATGTGCTTGGGATGGTTGGGAGACAAAGAGAGAAACGCGTCCATTCCATAACAATAACATAACCAATTCAAGCCAGAAACGCACCACAAAGTGGCAACCCCAAGTGCTAAACAAACCGTGTCAGGAGAAAGAGGATGGGAGCCTCGGTTCAGTCGTGATTCATTATTACTGCTCTAAGTAGCCTTTAGCACTTGGGAAGAACGGTTATGCTCTCACTCTGTTTATAGTTCAAACTTTCAAAGTAACATGAAATAAATAAGAGACGACGAAGGAGGAAAAGAGAGCCTGCTTTCGTGGGAGGAAGAAATGGGCCAAGAAATAAATCCCCTCGGGTCAGAACGGTTATCAGCAAGTAAAAAAGGAACACTCACACAATCAATCACGATTCAGCAGCAACCAACCTGGTGCGAATCAAAATTCAGATTTCTAAATTCCAAGATCCATACATACGCGAAAAAGTTGCACTTTTCTCACTCGAGGTTTCCCCTTCCCAATTTCTCTCCAGCCAATTAGAGCGACAAAACTTTGTAAATTCACGCTACACGAGACATCACCGATATTCCCTCGCACTGTTAAAAATTATAACGAGTTTCTGTTCAAAACCTGAGTAAATTGTGGGCCAAGGGAAAATAACTTATAATAGCTTTTGTCCAAATGTTTGTCACTGTTGAATCGAACCACTCACTTCCTTGTTAATCAAATGATGATTCTTGGCTTTCACAAAGTCTTATTTCTTCGTCATTATAACACTTGAAGAATTTTTTGAGATTGTTAGATTTCCGTTGACAATGAGTCTTGTCAGTTGTGTGGAAAAGTTAAAATGAGGTTTGCCTCGTTAATTCCAAGCCCACTTTTCACCTAGCCTGGAAACGATACTCTTCTCAGCAGAAGGGGAATTTGAAGCAGTAGAAGCACCGGCTGAAGAGGAAAGAGTGAGGATATTCCTGGCAGTCACCAATGCACTTGCAGACTGAGCCTGATTCCCCACCAACATTCCCTTTTTCCCAACTCCACACCGACCAACTCGACTTTCTCTTTTGGGGAGAAAGCCAGTTATCCTGTTTTCCCACATACACACAACTTCTCACTCCAAAAGTTCACTCTGCTGATATGGTGAGGATTTCCAATGTATCAAAACATCGACAAAATATGTAATCAGCCATGACTTATTAAACACGGCTTATAAAACATTGCGTAAATATTACTGCAGTTAAACAACGCAATGTTTTCAAGTCTTTATGCGTCATCGATACTACTTTTAAGCTGAAAATTATGGCGTTTCTCCATCCAGTTTTCACGCGGATACCAGCATTTAGAAGACTTGTGCATAAACCAAGGAGTGTGTAACGGCATAACCTACCCGTCTCACTTTCCCTAATTTAAGAAAAATCCGTTACATTTACGAGAATAAAATGTGGAGCTCATAAAACAAACAGAAAATCACTCAGAATTGTCACTTTATTTTTGCTCGAAGACATTCCATTAGCGCGGTGCAGTGGGGAAGGAGTGACCACTCCGAAATCGGTCAAGTACAATAATGGATGAGAGATTCTTCTTTGTTCCATTTGTCCGTGGGAAGTGGACCATCCGCTCTCGAGCCCAATCACTTTGCACTAATTGACTCGCTTTCTTCCAAATATTTTTATTCACAAGTGGGTGAAGGGTGCCCACAAAGAAGCTGAAAGGGAAACATCAAACTGCAATTTGGTGAATTTGAATTACTGACTCAATACAAATTTCGGCCTTCTTTAAATGTTGTCACAACCATTTTTGGTGTGCAAACAGTGACCGAGGCTGAGGTTAATGTATACGTACGAATACTCAAGTTGTACTGGTTGGTGATTCTGTTCAATCGATATGAACTCTCGTTTTTTGCAGATAAGAATCTTGATTCTGGGAAGGAAAGTTTTGTAGCAGGTTCGACAATTATTTAGCGCGATGCCCCATTATGGACTGGAAATGCTGTAATTTTATACCCGTAATTCATGCCTAATATGCAGGATGACAGCTGAAGAGATTATATAGTTGGCGGTTATACTTGTGAGCCACATATGTAAAATATTGCACGGAGTTCGTACATATGCACATCGATCGCAGGTCAGAAGCACAACTCGGTCAAGTTGGAAAGGAAGGATGTAACTCATTCAGCGATGGGTACATAATTTAACCTTCAATCATCAGAACGATTTGGAACCCCGTCGTTGTCACAGCGTCGTCGTCGTTGAGACAGCCGCCCTAGAAAATTCTCCGCTTCTTTCACACCTTGTTTGCCTTGTCTGTACTTTATTTTGGGGAGACGGGAATAAATCAGAAATGGACACACACAGACGTCCGTCCGTTGTGGGCGGTGCGAGGTTGCCCATTCGTACGAAATCCGGTCAGCTTCCGTTCGAATATGTATGGCCAAGTTGTGACGGGGGTTAAAAATAGGCAAGGTTCCCGTGGGAGCAGCGTCAAAGTTTGCATGGATGAATTTCTTCCCAAAATGGACAGAGGAAAGTCCTTAATGGTCACATATTCCTGGAAATCCAGTTATGGAACTTTTTCTCCGATAACTCCTAAGCAAGGAGCATTATTTCGTCAGACGAGAGGAAGTCAGTCAGATTTTTACAGAAAGTTGAATCAAATATATATTCCAAGTATGTTTACTATCACCTGGCGATGACAATATATGACTCCATTCTGTCACTGGCCACGGAAGGCGTGGGGACATCTGGGGACATTAACATTGTAAAATAGGGGAAGGAGGGGTTTATATAACATGGGCAGATGATGGGGAAATCGAGGAACCGTGGGGACATTGTCCCAGTGTCCCCTCGCTTCCGCTTGTCACGGCTTTGTGATAAACTCGCGGTGATAATATATCACCTGATGGTGACGGTGTTACCACCGCCTGTTGACAGCCGTCATCACCACCGCGATATTGTCACCTGTTGTAACCGGATTTCTTAGAGTGTAGTTTTGACCTTTTGTTTGAGCAGTTGTTTTTCTATTCCATTACCAATCATTGTTTTTCATCAGCCGCGACCGGTTTTTTGGGATTGCGTAACCTCACGTGTGTCAGGCCTTCTCGTACACGTATAAATATATTCATTTGCTAACAACGGTTTAACGGACGTAATTCTGAACGTGTCACCATTCAGGAGAGTCGTCAAAGAAGCCTGTATTCGTCCAAACTTGGGCCGAAAGCTTTCATCCCCTGGAATTGCACGTTACAGTAATTGACGTGTTGCGACATTCGGGCGTAATCCAATTTTAAATTGCATTCATCAAGTTGACTACGTACGAGTGAGTGATACTTGTCTGGGAAATTAACTCGGACACTTTTGGGTCGTTGTTTTGAGTGGAAATGGAGGGAGGTTGGGTGGGTGGCGGTGACTCAATGGAGATCCTCCGTCGAGTTAGCTCATTAGCAGTGACAGCGAGTGAGACCGGACTGGAAGGCTGTATTGTCCTGTTGTTGTTGTTCCTCTCCTTGCCTGCCCCAAGAAAGTTGTCTGCGGTTCCATTTCAGTTATTAGTCACGACATCACTCCCCCTCCTCCCTCCTTCCCTAATGTACGCCAAACTTTCTCCATTGTCAGATTTGTAAATTATGATTCTAATGAGTAGAACTTTGCCAAGAAGGTTCCGCAACTGCACACGTAATAAATTCAAAATCACCTAGAACTGCCATTTGGATGGATCAGAAGAATTAACTCGGGGAGGATGCAGAGGAGGTGAATCTTCCTGCATATCCATCCTCCACATGGACAGACACTTTCTCCTCCTGCGGTGTCTCAACCTTGTTCGAATTAATTCCCTACACTTTGTACCTCAACAGGACAGCCGAGTCGAAAGCAAAAAAAGAGGGTGGAAATTGGATGTGCATCGCTCTGCTAGGTTTGTTCTACTCGATGGATCATGTTTTCAGCAAGATCCGATGGATAGATAGATTTGGTGCTTTGTGAGGCTACAATAGTGCGGTGATGTAATCTCGCTTTGGTGTTGGTTGGTCGTGATGTGCAGAGCCCTTTATGAAAAACTTGCCACTTACGCCGCTAATTTCCAGACTTTCCCTCCTTTACAAGAACACGGGCAGACGGAACGTGGTGGGGTGCAAGCAATATCGGAGTGGAGAAATTTCCTAAGTGTATTAAATAGCATTACGAAGCGTGGTGGCAAGGCAGAAATAGTGTAGGCACATACCACACGATCATTGTTTTAATTTTCATTGAGAATGTTTTGGCCACTCGTAAATTATTCAGAAGCTGGCAATTAACTAATTGTGTAGTGTATCCGGTTCATTATTTAATTATTTATTTAATTCATCGCTAACTGCATAAATAACATTGCAAATATTGAATGAGCAGAAGGGACGCAAAAACCGCTCGTGCTTAATAGGTGTCATTAATAAGTATGACTATGTACATACATCGTACATATACCATCGTATGCATAATGACAGCACAATTGTTTTCTGCCCTGTACAATTTTCTCAATGGTCGAAAATCATGGCAATGCTACCACACAATTTTCCAGAATAATAATTTCAAATAATGAATAAAGTGTCTCCGGATAAAGGTAAAACTGCAATATTGGTAATTATTCGCTGCATGAATGGATATTCCGACTTGGAGAAACGTATTTGTACATATCTACATCAACATTCTAGGAAATTAACAAGTTCGAGAGAGTGAAGCGGAAGTTTTGCCGTCGGCCAAAGGTTTGTGGATTTTTAACAAAGTCTCATTCATTACGATCTAAATGAAGTGTTTACACAGAGAGAGGAACGCATTTTACGCTTCACTGCTTCCTTCCCAATGGCGAAATGGTGGGCGGCTCGGGCCTCGAATCTAGGTGGCAAATGGACATGTGCTACATGTGCAAAGTTCGAGAAGACAATTAGCGAAAGAACTCTCTCATATTTCATTAAGCCACTGGATGAAATGATATAATTTCATAATGTCGGGCTCTTTGTGAGTCCTTTTTACTCCAGAAACTTTGATTAATTTATCCCTGCCCCACAATGTACGAGGTTCCAGCAAGCAAGACCCACCACGGCCATATCTTGTAAAAAGTATGTACACACGGCGTGCCCTATGCCATATCAGAGCAGGATTAAGCTTAATTTTGAGTAATAATCTAACTAACCAGGAGCAGATATGTATTCCGCAGTTTCTTTCCGTTCCGCTGGAGGAATTTTCATTTTCGACAATTTAGTAGATCGGAGTGAGATAGTGGAGTGGCCACTAGCGGAGTAATTTATGTGCACGCACTTGGAAACTTAAGATTACTAACTTATGGGATTTTCTTGTTCGTCTTGTCCGCGAGAATATTAATGAGACTCTTTCAAAGTCAGCTCAGATTTCGACTCGTTGTTTTACTTTTCGTGGTAGCCGTTTTTTCCCTGCATGGCAAATCTAACGAGTGTGGTAATGAGGGGAAAGTCGGCTGCACCCCTTCGTGTCCACGTTGCATAAGGCGGGGTGGCTGGAATTGGCGACAAGGTTGGAACGAAGCTCATTAGATCTCATCACATGGCACCACCAATTATTATCAAACTCCACGCTTGTTTACAACGGCCAACTATTAAATGTTTCCTATAAAATGCACACACGGATGACGGACTACTTTTACATATAAATAATGCCAGCCCATGAGTAACTCTCCTAAAAATAGTCGCCAAAAGTTCATGTCTTAAAATATACCAATTCTCATTAATTTTGTGTTTGTTTGCCCAAAAATATATGCTTTTAAAAAAGGTCATGTGTGGAGGAAGTTTGGCTGTACTGTATTTTTAATTAATTGTCATGCATGGCAGACGAGCATAAGTGTGCATCATCTGAATAAGCATTCCAGACTGGAAAGACCAACTAACCCACGAGGTTTAATACTGCATAAACTCGTTTAATGAATCTGTGGCAAATTGCAACATTATTCTTTTTAATGCGCTCTTTAATTGCGAGAGAAA